CAAGTAATCTTGCTTCTAGCGGTCAGGACTGAATGAAGAGTTCGAATTTTCTTCCTCAATGTTTCTTACCGTTCTCTCATGCGCGCAATGGGTCTGCAATGGTGAGTTATTATGAACCTATGCTACACAGACATGGCATGGACACAACATGGACAAGTCAGACAAGGAAATCTACACTAAAAATTGAAACATTAAAAAATGGAAAGGTATAATGGAAAACAGCTATTGCAACACCATAAAGCCTTGATATGCAATGCAATAATTATACATATACCTGGAAAAGGAATTGAACAGGAAGCTTCCCCGGGGAATAATGTGAAAGGGATTTTTCATGTCTTTTCCTGCCATAGAAAATAATTACAGTTTCAGTCTTTCGGATTGGAATAAGCAAACTTTATTTTGGATCAACACAAAAAGTTTCACTAACAGAGAATGAAAAGATAATAGGAGTAAAATTATCACTATCCAACGTAGGAGGGCACAGAATCAATAACCGCAAGTACAAGAACAGCAGTCTAATAGATATTCAAGAAACTTTAGGCTAAAGAGTGCAAATGCAAATATATACAATAAAAAGCCTTGTAAATCTTGTATTTACACTACATATTTGTATTTATACTTTTTTTTATATAAATATGTATAGTGCAAAACCTTGTAATTTCTATGTATTTATACTGTACATGTTTGTATTTATACTCTTTAAGCTGATCCTTCTCAAAAACTGTCAAACCGGGGGTAAGATTCCCATTTGATTGGCTCTTGAACAGTTCACATCTGATTCATGATTCATTTGTCAAGAATGAAACCATTCTAGAATCATGTTCCATAAAAATTGAATGGATTTTACTTGAAGACACTAGTACTTCCATTTCGTTTTCTTTTAGAAGACTAAAACCTAGAATGGCTATGCATAATTTTATAGATGGATCATTTATAGTTTTAAACATTTATTTGTATAATTTTATTTTAAACGTTTATTGCTTTTGTTGTTTGGTTAGGCATTACTTTAAACGATTTTTACTTTCCACCTCAGGTTAGCACCCCATAAAAGTGTGTCACATTAGCAACATTTTGTTTCAAGAAACACCGGGGCATTGGGGTAAACAAGAATTTAACATTTCCTCATATACCTAGTGCACAAAAATCTATGTATTTATAATTTTTAGTGTTGATTTGATAAACAGTATAACTAAACAATAGTTTCGTGCAACAATAAAAGCCACCAAACACCCTCTACATCTTTCAATAAACTAATATTACACAATAGGTAGTTAAATCTAACCAAAGCACTCTTCAAGAATATTCTAGGAGGGTCTGCCGCCGAGACTCAGACCGTCTGCCGGAGAATTTGCTGATCTATATATCTAGGAACCTGTGTGAATAAGATGTTCAGTCTGATCTATATATCTAGGAACCGAAGAATTTGCTGATCTACCCCCTGTTGTGTAGAACCCCATGAAGCGAAAAAAAAAGATGTCACTGAATGCTCAATAAAAGACTCAGCTTTATGAATTTTGGTTAATAACTACCTTCTGTTCAACATCCAAATAAAAAAAAATCCAAATAGGAACGGCATTTTCTGGGAAATTGAGTTTGTCGGTTGTCACTAAATGCTCAATAAAAACCAACACCAAGATGTAATCTTCTATAAAACCACCCGATCTTCCTTAGTGCAAAGGAAGGCTATTGACAACGTAGGTTGTTGATAGAAGATAATCAAAGCTTTTCCCTCAGTCATCACTGCAAGAATATAATGGCAAATTAGTTGCCACTACATAGAAATAACCAAATAGATGTCGCCACCATTTAAGGTAACAGTAACTCTTCATCTCTCATTCAGCTTTAGTTTTTTGGTTTTATAAGCCATAACATCCTTCTTTTTCTCATCCCACTGAACCACTCAACACGGACAATTCTGAATGTCTAATGATTAATATCTCAATCACCATTTAACCAACATCATTGGCTAGCAAAGAGAACAGTAGGTCCTATTGTCCCCTGCTCATTGTGCCTAGCTAAACCATTTAACGGTGGAATATGAACTTCAATAAAACATTGGCAATTTTTGTGGACTTATCCAAATGATCTTCTTCCTTAATCTTGAAATAATAATAAAAGCATATCTAAATATTAATACATTTTTTGATCAATAACAAAAGATTTCATTAATTAGAGAATAAGGATTACAAAGGGGAAATAACCTCCCTTATATCCCCCGCACAAAAAATATTGCATAAAATTACAGTTGAGCCCAAAACAAGTTCTCCCTATTCATCTCTTGCTTTGCTAATCCATCAGCAAAGGAGTTTGTACATCTCTTAATCCAAGCTACTTTAACTTTCATTTCTTCTAATTTGTCAACCATTTGAATTTTTTCTTCTCATTGCTGTATATCCATAGACCAGCTTTATCCCCTTTTAGCCAATCTATCACCAGCTTAGAATCTCTTTCGCTTATCAGCTTCCTCAATTTTAAGTCCTTAACTCTCTAAACACCTTCTAATGTCACCAGAATCTCAGTTCTAAGAGAATCACCTTCTTCAATCGGGCCTGAGAGCAAAACAATAATTTTCCCTTTTTCATCCCTTAAAACACCTCCACTACTCGAAAGCCCTAGGTTGTCAATGCTGCTTTCATTTTAATACAAAATTAATCATGTAAATCACTATCTACTTGTACAATGGAATTCTCGTTAATTTGCAAGCAACACATGTTGGGGCTATTTGGATCGATAGAGTTTCTGATTTTTGTTTGAAAATTTGAAGAGCAATAAGGGTTAAAAAAGTCTTTTCATTAGTTCTGTCAAATCTAATAGCTTCTTACTATTACAAGGGAGGTTTAGGTCCTATTACAAATCAAAGGGAAGGTTTTAGTTTTAAGTCTTTTACCCTAAAATATTTAAAATATATTCTGATAGCTTATGTTTTCCCTCAAAAAAAAAAAAAAAGAACCTAGAACTTGGCTTTTATTAGGAGGAGGGAAGAGGGGATGGTGGGTAAGGATCTGCTACCAATAAAACGCTCCCAACTGTCCCAACAGGCCATTGCAGTCACACATTGCAAACATCTCTCTTGTCATTGGTGGGGAGATATTCCGAATGTCTGGCTGTAATGGCTAGTTGGGACAGTGAACTCATCAGTGATTCCATCGTTGGTTGGTTCCCAAAAGTTGCAACCAGCTCAGATCTCCTATCCACAAATTCTTCTCACATCATTATCGACGAGACACTATTGCCGTGTCTAGTGCTGAATATTGTTTGTTGACTTTGTTCTGAAATCTTAACCCTTGATTCAAATAATTTGTTAAGTTCATGTAATCACCTTGTTAGAGGGGTTTAATCATGTATCCTTCCATGTTTTTATTCAATGTTTTTAGTGGTTCCTTTCTAAAGCAAGATAATGAAGAGAAGTTCAAATTTGTCTTCTAACATGTCTTTCTACAAAATTTGGTAAGCTGTGACATTCTGGTGAAGTGAAAGATGAGAGCCACTAGCCCATTCTTTAATTCTATCTTCCTCTCCCCGATCTACAGAGTAAAGACTAAAGACGAGAGAGAAATGAATCGTCAGTGAAGCTCAGTTTGTTTTTAATGCAATCTCATTTGCATAGGTGCAAACGTCAAGGACAGAAAATAAAAAAATATTTTTTTTAACCAAAGTAAAATAAAACCTGAAGTAAAACAGAGTCCATACAGCCATTCCTCCCTCCAGCATAGTTAATCTTGCAATGGTCTGTATGGACTAACGTGTCAAGCAGGGAAAAAACTGTGGACATTATATTTCCCATGGAGATATTATGTTGTATAATATTTCATTTCATGAAAAAGAAAGCACCATTTCATGAAATAAAATGTAGTGGAACAATTGCAAGTGTAAAACATTGAGTTGGTTAGGATTGTCGAGGAGAGATCAGATGGGCGCCCCACAAGCACCTCACAGCACCTCCCACCGTGTATTGGAAATATTTCTCCATCATGTTGGGTGCTAATGTGATCTCTATCCAGGGCACACTTCTGACAAAATTTTATCAGGATTTTCCAAACCTAACATTTTGAAGGGGTAGGGATCTGCTACCAACAAAATTCTATCAATACTGCCCCAATGGCCCCCTGCAGCTGCATATTGGGAACATCTCCCCGAAAAATGTTCCCAATGTATACTTGGGATCTGCTACCCACAAGCTGTTCCCACATCCTTACCCACGAGCTATTCCCAATGCACAGTTGTAATATCTTGTGGTTATTGGTTAAAGATGTGGAAACAGCTGATTGATACGTTGTTGGCACGTGTGTTGGTAGTTAATCCAAATTCCTTTTCAAGATGGGGCAGCCCTGCAGAGCTAAGCCGTAATTGAATCGCCAATTGACTAATTGAGGCAAAAATAACAATTCTATAAACGGTGGCCATGCCAAACATCTCTCTATCGACAAGGTTTGGTTTGTCTGAAAACAAAAGGGTAAAACAAGGGACAAACGCTCACAGGTTCGCTAATTATCATTTAGGGTTTGCTACTTCATTAGCAGTACCTTCGATCTACCATGTAGCCACAAATCAGCACTAGATGACTCGCCTGGTCAGCTAAAAATTAATGAATTTTTTAATGGAGACTTGGGGAAGTAATCTACCAAAGTGACACTAAAGATATTTAAGAAAATCTATAGGAGAATTATTGAAATTAAACTAAAAATGGATATTGCATACTACTAATAAATTAAACTAAAAATGTTCAAAACATTATATATTATTAACAAAGAAACTTAGAAATGACTGATTGTACGTCATCAATAAAATGACGATTGATTTCTATGAGCCTTGAACCGTATGTCTCTTTTAGTAAAGATACAAGATTCAAACCAATTTACTAAAACACCATAATTCTTTGTGATGCATAAAAAAGTACAGATAACATTGATGTATTTAATAGTGAACTAACCAAATTTAGATCACCTTAATTGAATCCCTTTGCATCCCTAAGAGATCTACTTTCATAAATGGACTTCTAATTTTCTGTTAAGCTGAATGTGTTTATTAGAAGGGGTAAAGCTGAGAAGATTAACCCAATGAGAACAAATGATACACCTTTTTCTATGAATAAATTAGAGAGTAAAAAATAAGATTAACTTCTGGAAAGATCATGTATTCTGTCTACAAATTGTGGAATGGCTTGGGGGGGGGGGGGCACTCAAATCACAAATGAAGCCTGGACACATACACCAAAAGATCACAGCCCATCTTATGGTTAATTTAACATTAGAAGACTGCTGGGCCATCCTCCCTAGAGTTGCCATCACTTGCCAATTGCTCCCAGAGAAATAAATTTAAGCATCACTTCCATGGGATCCACCAAGCAGCATTAAATGCTAAAAATCCTGCTGGAATTCTCCTACCTTTTTTCTTCCTCACTCTGAGGATGTAGAGTTGTCTCCACCCACAACCCAGTACTGTTTGACAGCAACCAGTATTTTCTCAGGGACAAGGGGACCGTCCTCATGATCTACCATTTTCGTGTTCCACCTTATCCCTCCTGCAATCTTCTTTACCTTGATCAGCACATCAACATCATCACGGAATATAACAGCCCCTTCAGGTCTGAGAATCCTATCCATCTCCAGAAGAATGTCTTCAGCCTTACATCTGGCATTGGTTTATTTACATATATGTCAAAAAGGCACAACATAAGAGAATAAAAGAGATGCTTCTATATTAGAAAGGAAACAAAACTACAGGAAATTTATAACTGGGTAAACAAAACCATTAAGGAATTGTTCACCGATAATGCATAATTTTGTTTTTACAACAAAAACAAGTGTTACATCAGCAAAAAAATAAATTATTTTGGCTGATGTGATGCGGTACTTATTTTTTGTTGTAAGAAACAAAATCATGCATATTGGTGAACACTCCCAAAGTCCTCTAAATGGGATAGAGATACAAGAGGTGGACAAGTAGGCAGGTCTCAAACCATATCTCAGAGGGCCCTAAATTCACTGATGCAATTTGCACAATCAGTAATAAAAAAAACCCTTACTTGTTCTTATATAAACTGAAAACACCATTTGCATGAATGAGGTCATATGTCCTTGGGTATGTAGAGAAGGCTTCACACCTAAACAAGAAATAGGAGAAAATGTGTTAACAAGTAAAAACAACAAAAACTGAGCCTAAAAACATAATTTGGAAGAAGAAAATGCAGAAACCTCAACCAAGGACATTAAAATTAACAAGTCTCAACTTTGCAGATTAACAGGAAAATTTATTAAATGGTTAACAAAAGTAAGCCTATGCATGACTAGACTCTATATCAATTATCAAAGTTGCCCCCTTAAGTTTCTGACCACACGGTATAATTTAACAGACTCCCTTGGCCCAAATGATGGAACATTAAGTGATATTTTGCTTTAGTTTCTGAGGTCCCAACTATGAGAGTATGCAATAGTTTGGTCCAGTAGAAGATTAGAAATCCAATAGCTCCACCTAAAGAGCAAAATATTTTAAAAATGATAAGACACAAATATCATGACATCAAGCAAACAATGTCCAGCACCAAAAGATGGGTAAAATATTTGGGAAAAAAACAAAAATTCAGATGCTTACATGTGTAATACAGAGAGCTGCCAAAAAAAAGTCAAGAAAACCAAACAAATATGACTTGTCCATACAATTTAACCTTTTATTGCAGAGCTTATAAGGCCCATCTAATTTGAAATTTCTTCATATTTTGTGGTTGTTATCAATGGACAATATATTTACAGGCAGTCAAATACTATGACTAATAATAAAGCATTTTCAAATGAGTCATGCAGAAAAATAGACAGCATAAATACAGGTATGGATGGACAAGCCCTAACCTCCAAAAGGAAGTTCACAATTAAGAAAAGGTCATTCCTGATAGAAGCAAGGCTGTACACTAAGTATAACATGTTCAAACAAATTACTAGAATTAAAAGCCCTGAAGTTTTGAAAGTTGTACCAGTCATGATATATGCCAATCAACCCTCTTTCGTATATAACACCAAGAGTGTTCTTCTCTGAGATAGTGGGAACAACATTCATAACCCATAATTTGGGAGATTCTAGTGCAGCTGCAAAACTTCCTAAACCAGCATTCATATCCATTATGTTGCGATACCTTCCTGAGTCGATAATCTTATTGATTTTCTTATAAGCTTTTACATGCTTCCTCCATAATTTGTTGTCATCCAAGTATGTGTCAACAAAGACTCCAGGGACAGATCCACTAGCTATTCTGGGAGGGATAGCATTAAGCCTCTCTGGAAAAGGCTTCACCTCTCCTCCAGAAACTTCATCTCCACTCTTAACATCGGGATAGGGAGTTATGCATGCCTCCATCTTCTTGTACCTAATACATGGACAAAAAATAAGCGTTATACAAAAGGACAAAAAAGAATGTCAAATGGAAACAAGGTTCAACAGAAAAAAAAAAAAAAAAAGAGTCAAAGCCTTCAATAGTAAAATAAAAGCTGCTCAAGAAACTTGCCACAATTCAGCCATAGATCAATATAAAAAACGCTTGGATTTGAAGTTCACAATACAAAAGGTTAGGCTTTAAGAGGGGAAACTCTAGCTCAAGAAACAGGCACTATGCACACATATATACAATGATTGGCCACTTGAGTCAAATGTGTATATATTATATATATATTGATCAGCGTGTATATATATATATATAGATATACACATATATAGATAAGCACACGCACAATGGTTGGCAACTTGAGTCAGATGAAGACAACATGCACAAAGCCAGGTCTCAGGTCATTTTCCATTGTAACTATCAAGTATCAACTGCATGATTGATGCAAAGATATTGAATCAATGAAAGAACATGGAGAAACAAATCAGTTTTCCAATATGTTCCACTCTCAGATGGTGTTAAACCTTAGAAAATGTGCTGCATACAGTAATTGAACCCTCCACCAATATGTTTTACTCCCAAAGAGTGTTTAAACCTCAAAATTTTCCATACCTTGGTTGAACTTCTTGCTAAAAGACATGGTAAATGTAGGTGAATACCATACAAAAAGGGTTCAAAAAACCCTTTTGAAAGAAATACTTGAAGCAAAATAAAATAACCTACTATTGTCATTTTCATAACTCTGCCAGTGTGAGCTTCTTAAACTGCCGGTCCCAAGCCCAGATAGAGGAGGGTTGGGTCAAGTTGGTAGCCAGCACTAGAACTTTTTGCCAAATTCTTATGATCATGGATGGTGACGATGTTATCTTCATAGCTTAACTTCAATAATAGCTAAAGTTGACACAAATGGATAAAATTGTTTCTCGGAAGTATCCTATTATTTGGCTAGCTATCATCCAACAAGTTGGTATAGCAGTTGGATTACAACAGCAGACACTTACCAGACATCATCTGCACTTGTGGATTCACACATATTAGCATGGGAGTCATCTTGTTTCCCATGACAGGAGTCAGCATTTAAGCTCTTTCTCCAAATGGCAATTTCACCCTTCTCATGTGTCTTTTCCCAGCAAAGGAGTTTGGCAATCTCTTCAATTTTTCTCTGTTCCTCCTCAAGGTCTTCCTTGGTACGTTGCCATGCTTGGTAATTGTTTTTCCAATTAATTGGAGGACCAGAAAGCACCCAGTAACCCCCGGGTCTAAGAACTCGATCTACTTCCATCATGTACATTCCATCTGCAAAGTAAGAAACCCACAGGAAATTGTGAGAAGTAGTTGCTTGCCAACGTAACTGATACAATCGTTTTGATAATATCTAAAAATTAAATGATTTTGGTGAAATGCTTGGTAAAACTTTACAATTCAACCATCAAATATTAGTAGTTTTCAAGTGTAAATGTTCATCCTTTCAAACAAGCATTGATTACTAAATACTTATATATCCTCACCATTTGCTCCCCATGGAATCAAGCAGCGAGAACAGTGAGCCATATCAAAGGCTCTAGATGGATATGACAGTTTTATGGTTCCAAGCACACCAATAACTGCAGGCACACCTCTCTCTAAAGCAAATTGAACTTGCGCTTCATGTGAATCTCTTGGTGCAAATGACATGGCTATGACATTCCTTTTCAAAAGGTATGCACCCCAACTTGCAACCTGAGCATGATATTCAATTCTTAGTGGATCAACTAAGACAGTGGAGTAACATGATCTGTAAATAACTAAAAAGGGCTTTAAAACATGATAGGCTCCATTTGTAACAACTCCAAAAAATAAAATAAAACAAAATAATCACATAGCATGGCCTTGACAAATGGCATCTAAAAGAGAAGGGGGAAATAAGTGAGATTCAAATAATAATAAAATATGCAAGTTACGTGGGTCAAGTGAAATATTGTATAACAAATTTAGTAGGTAATTCAGAGAATCCAACATACCCCACAGCCAGTATCCAGTGCAGTTCTCACAGTCCCATTTTGAATTGGGATCACAGAAGCAAGTTGATCAATATATGCATCTGCCCCTTGAGGAAACTGTGTTCCTCCACCTGGAAATCTAAAAACATTGCCCTCATACTGAATCCAGTTCTGGACAGCCTTCTCAACCGTCAAGCTTTTATATGGCGCATTGGCATAGGGCACATAATCACGACTCTTTGGCCAAGGAAAGGGTGTAACATATCCTTTTGGTGCTGGAATAAGACAATGCAGTTTCTCTTCCTCTGGAGGACAATGTCTTTCTCTATAGATCATATTTTGCCTAGGGAAGGTCATAGCCCGCCTTTGATCTTGGCAGGGAGTGTAATCAATATAGCGAGCACCACATGACTTGAAAACTTCAGCTTTTGATTGATCATCAATTACCCCAGCTTCACCAGTGTGGTGGGTCTCAAAATTCAAATTTGCAAGGACACTGCAGTCTGTTTGCTTGGTGATCTCCACAGCTATACTGTCACCCTTCCCAAAACCACTTTTCTGCCATGCTCCCAAAATATAAAAGAAACAGCACAAACCAACCACAATGAATATAGATACAGAGCTCCGAGTCCTGCTGTCAGCTGAGTTTATTTTAGCCATGATGCACCTGAATTAATTTAAAAATTAATTCAGTATAGTTATGTAGATTGTAGACTGGATGAAAGAGTAACAATTCAAAGGAACAAGTACCCAGGGCATGCATGTTGAACAAAGTTAAATTATCATTAAATTAGAAGCACTGCCAAGAAATCACATACAGGTTTGGTTAAATTAGTTCAAGCAAACAAACAAAGAAGCGTTTTTTTATTGGTTAAAAATAAGTATTTTTCATCCAACACCTTTTTTTTTCTCGAAAGAATTTTTTTCCTCCAAAAAAATGAGATGAGATCAGTCCCCGACCTTGCGTTTTGAAATTTCACCCTAACTAAAAGTGCAAAATGCTTGCTTTGGAAGCTAAAAAGTTTAGAAAACCATGTTCAAAAGACAGGGCGTAAACACTTAAACTAACATCCGTATCCAAGAACGCACAAGCGTACCTCAATCGCAATTTCACTTCTGGAGCCCCATAACATTATATCTTTCAGATGTGATAGGTACATCAGATTTCAGAGATAAAGAATCTTACTTGATTCGGGAAAAAAAGCCAAGATCAAGTAAAAGACATGCCAATACAGTAACAATAGCCCTCCGTAGCAGTAAAGGAAGTCGAAGAGAAGAATCAATTTTATATTCTTCCGGTATAAATACGTTAGTTTTCAATTCTTTCTTCCCTTTTAACTGATTTCAAGCTTAAAGCTGAAAATTATTTGAAGAAGCTACATCGAGTCGTAAAGAAACTAGAACCTACATATATTTTTCCTGCAAGATCTCGTCATAATAAGGCAAATCTAGCATAGGTAAGAACAACTAAGCTAGAGAAAAACGAAAGAAACTAAATTTAAACGTAACAATAAAACTAGCAAAAAAAAAACCATGTAGCCACCACAGATTTAAGTCGGAAGAACTCAAATACGGACTTAGGCAACTAAACTTCAACAAAAACATCACATTTGCATCAAATCCAGAAAAAAAAAAAAAAAAGAGATCGGGAGAGAGCAAAGAAATGAAAAAAAAAGAAGCCCCAAGAAACAAAAGAATCAGGCCAACAATCAAGAATCGAGAAAGAAAGAATATCTGCTGCTAAAATCCAGATCCCTTACCAGTCTCGGAAGGAGAAGGCAGAACCAACTCCAGATCTTAAGAAAACCACTGTAAATTAAGCCTTGGTCATTTCATTTACGAGCGTTTCTCCACTCCGTACCAAGAACAAAAGACTCAAAGCAAAGCAGGTAACTAAAAACAGAGAGGGTAATCGACGTCACCAGACTGAACTGAACAAAAATGAATTTCCGCAGCCCGCAGGAGGCTAGCGTAGTGTTGCTTAACTATAATTCTGCAAGAGGATGATGAAAGAGATTTCTGAGAGAGACGCGCCTCTCTCTCGGCTCTCGTTACTACTTAACTAGTAATCGCAATAATAATACCTGTGCGACATGGAAATGGAATATCTAGGTTTTTCCCTTTTTTCCATTGTTAGTTTATTTATTATTATTATTTTAATTATTGTTTTTCCGCGTATGGGAAATTATTGTTGGCCACCCACACACAACTCGAGCAAGTATTGCTCCTTTTAGGATCGGGCCATAATGATATATCGTTTGGGAACTAGATTTTTAACTTATTTCTGAATAAGAAAATAAATAGACGTGAAGAATGAAGATGTTAGATTTCATAAATCTATAAATTGTTTTAATTTTCTTTTTCCGCGTAACAGCGTAAGGCATAAAATTATTTTTAGTTTACCAAAAGGGAAAATCTATGATTTTTTTTTTATTTTTATTATTATTTTTTATTGCCTTCTGTGAATCAACGGTTGATTCTTAAAGTTGGGGCCCATTGTCACTATCGTCGCAGCTGGAGATGTCAGTGTCTTTTGCATTATGATGGTAGGGAGCGGAACAGGATTCAGTCCGTCCAAAGCCCCTTCGAACAACCATGATAGCCTTGCATTGACAATATATCTCCCATAAAGCACAGAAGTTGTAAAGATTGTTCGAATACTACTCTGACTAAAGCCGATCTCGGAGGGAGCAAGGTTTAACTTATCATTGGTTTCGCAGCTCGCTGAACAACCAAAGCGGTCAGCTAATCCGAATTCCTTTGTGTCAATGGTTTTAACTTGCATGAAGTTTCATCATTTTATTCTCTTACAGTACAGACACGCAAGTTTGATTATGTCAACACAACAATGTCTCTTCCCAGTTCCTCTCTCTATTCAGAGTGAGAAAGCGGTTATTAGTCAGAATAATGTTGGAGCAATGAAACTATGAAAAGGATGTTCGCAAATATAAACGATATTGTTTGTTACACCAACAAAATCCTCTCTCCCTTTCTCAGTTTTTTGGGTTGTGGCAGGGGTATATAGTTTTTGTTTGCTTTCAGAAACTGGGTGGATAGATTTGTTTAATCTAATTTATTAATTTCCTGTCTGAACTTCAAGTGGTGTTACTGGATCGACTCTTACCTGCATTGGATTCTACTAATCTTGCATATTGTAACTTCAAGCACCCAACGTTGGTTTATTCACCATTATTTTCATTTCCAAGCACTGGTGTTAGCCACCCTCCCAAAGAAACAAGATCAGAAATTCTGTATAACTGCTGAGAATATTAATAATAACCCAGAGAGAACTCTGCTCTTTTTAGACACCTGAATTGCTGCTGACCCATGGCTCCACAAAAAATCCCCAGAGAAACATCATCCTACATGTCTTGTGCCACAAATTGTTCTATAAAGTATAACTCAAATACTTCACCTCAATCTTATCTAAATTCCCTAAGTCTCAGTTTGGAAGGAGTACAAATACAAATATGTACCTTGTATTATATTGTATGCATTTACAACACTATACATATTTGTATTTGTACTCCTTCCAAACTGAGCCTAACAGTAACAGTAGATCGCTGCTGCTATGTTGTATACCCTTCCACTTATCTCCAAGCACAAGCCATTAGTCTGTTGTTCCTTTGCTTCCCCACAGAGAGCTTCCTACCAGGACCAGGATCTACAATGACTGGCTGTACTCTGACAGTTGGATTGGTTTAATATGGTCTGTTTCTCTTTCATCAGGTGGCCTTAGCACTCTGTTCCCTGGTTCTAATTCCGAGGCTTCATCTTCATTCACCAGTCACCACCACCTGCAAAAGGACCAACATAACCTACTTAAAGATTCAAGTCTATGGCCTGGACAGTAGGACCGTTTGACCGCCTGGTCCGAACAGATAACTCGTTGCAATTTAAAAAATATAAAAAAACAATTAAAATAAATAAAAGTCAAAAACCATTTTCCAGGTCGATCAGGTTGATGATTCTTCGACTGCCCGGTTAGTGGGTTACTGACCAATTCCGTGGTTTTTGGCAAAGACTGGGTCAGGGGTGGACGATCAAACCAGTGGCCAAAGCGGTTCCCGTTCTAGGTCCGGGTCCATTTTCAAAACATTGGTGCACACAGTACTTTTTCATATTGCAGACATTCATTTCCCTTGTTTGGCAGCGAATCTTCTAAATCGTTTGTTGATCAGTATGTTCACTATTTGAGCTAGTTTCCTTCTCTCAAAATGTGTATATACTGCCATGGATGTTGCTTATCAATTTTCTCCAGCCCATAATCACAAAAGTTTCCATACATTATAATGTCCCTGTATTTTAATGACTTTCCTGACTTTAAAACTTGATGTAGGAGGGCTAGCAATTTAACATTTGTTGAATCCCTTGACCCTCAAGAGTCCAGATCCCAAGTACAAAGCCAATATCAGACCACTGCAGCCCCTAATTACACTAATTAAAAAGAGGAAAGAATGTTGTCCCTAATCACCTTACCTATTCTCGACCTCCCTGGATTACCCATACGTAAAATTCACTATTGCTGATAAAAAACCATAGGCCTCTCAAGTAAAATTGACAAGGCAAGGTCCAGATGGATTAGAAGATTTGAAAATCCCTAGCAGAATCTCTAGCTAGAGAGGGGACAAATTGGGACTAATTGTGCTAGGGATCTGCTTAGGTGTATGTTTTGGGGGTGTTGTACTTTGGGTAGGTGAATATTTTGCAGAGGTTACATATACTTTTCTTTTATTACTTGGGTAGGGATTAATTGTGCCAGGGATCAGCCCTTACTTGTAATAGCATTTCTCTGGTCTGTAACTGATCAAAAATATTGAAGAGGATGGAATGAAAGAACAGGATTCGTGTAGCTGACCCCGTTGGGAAAGGCTTAAGATGATGATGTAATAGATCAAAAATAATCCTGGACACCTAACCTCCATAGCCTTCTTATTTCTCCCATAACATTTACAATGCAATTTCCATTTCTACAACCTTCTCTCTATACCTCAAATTTAACCCAATATACCTTTTTCAGAATTCATTGACCAGACGTCAAGCGAATTTTCTGATTTTCATCTAAGAGCTTCTGAATTGTCACAACCATCTTATGTAATTATTGAAGAACCTTTAACAATCAACAGCTCTTAAGGAGAACAACTTTTAGCAGATACCACAGCATAGCATACAAAATCTTCAACTAAAAACTTTTGAAATCTATTTCGTTGGCTGTGTGTATTTTTACATGTGAAGGAAGAAACAGAATAGAAGCTCAAGAGTTTAGACTAAAATTCAAGCTAATAGTTGAAAATTGGTCTAACTGGGAACAATATTCTGTTAGATTACCCACTATAAAAATATTTTATTAGCTTATATTGACAGACTTCTATTGGTGATAAGCCTGCAAAATTATTCAAGTGTTTTAAAAATGAAATCAGTTGAAGTATTTTTTTTTTCTGTGTAAAAGTAGCAGTAACACCAGAGTTGCTACCTAAAAAAGTTGCTATTAGATCTGATTGGCAGCTTGGTATAAACTAGGTGGTAGGTAGGTATTGATGTAAAGCTTAAAATGTAGAGGAATATTACCAAGTGGTGATAATTAAACAAGTTGAAATTTGAGAAAGAAGTGTCATGGGCCTTAAGGATTTTAGTAAGAGAAGCAAGATTTTTGGGATCCAACCTGAATTTCTTTGTTCAGGTGGGTGCTGAGATAAACAAATAGCATGGCTGATTCACTAGCATTGTTGTACATGTAAAGGATGTAGCTACATCTGGGATACAAACTAAATACATCTCTGTTGATACCCAGCTATTTTCCTGATTCCCTCAGTCTCATAATAGTCGCTTTGGTTTGGTCATCAATGAGTATAGAACATGAAGCAGAGTTCAGATTGCATTCCACAAATTTCTTGGCAAGGCTTCAGCTGCAGCCTCAACATCAATCCTTCAGTAGGAGGAAGAACAGTTTCATCTGGGCAAGCATATGTACTTCCTTTTCTCAGAAACTGTAGGGACCTTTCACCTTCTTGTTCACAAACTATATAGCAACAAGATAAACAATTGCTCACTAGCCTATGCTGATCGATCACTCGGGAGTCGGGATCTGCTGATGGGCTTGGCATCCACATGGTTTCTCGGTTCCCCTTCTCAGACGCTTGTCACCCACGTTTAGAGCTGACGTGGTTATTGCAATTGGCCTTGTAGTATGACCTGACACGAGTAAAACTGTTGACTGTCGTCTTTTGACATAAGTAATATATTCATACGGAAAGTTTCCGCTTCCAATTACTCACCTTATCTTCTGCGGTTCTCAGTAGCAAGGGGTTACAGCTCCCGCTGAAAAAAAAAAGTAGCAGATTTTCAATTCAAATTCGAAGTTCTCAAAAGTCAAAATGGTTTTAGCAATAGCGTCTCCCTCTCTGGTTCAGTCCTCGCTTCTGAGTTTCTCTTCTTTCCCGAGGCTCTCTGCGTTGCAAACCCCCGGGAAAAAAAAACATGATTTTCTTCTCAAGAGACATCCGACATTTCCTCATCGTTTTCCCCCTTGCCGGTCGAATGAAGAAGTATTACGAGTTCAAAATCTTAAGGGAATTCCGGTTCCGCAGAGAGGGCACCATTCCATCTGCTTTTACAATGCAAAAGAAGAATCTGAGGGCAAGTTTCAAGGAAAGGTATGATTTTGGGCTTGAGCTGATGTTTTGAGACGAAACTTTCTTAACCACCTAGAGGTTAAGCTTGTTGCTTGAGCTGATATTTTTCCTCAAAATATCAGTTCAAATACATTTACTTTCTCTTCCTTTGTAGCATTACTATTGTTACCTCTTTCTTAATTGTTGAACTTGCTAATATCTTTTTACGGCAATACGAATTCAAAGTTCCATTTAGTTTAGGTTTTGGTGTGGGTTGAAAAGGGCTTTCATTCAAATTTTGACGAAAACATGGTGAAACTTAATCAAATAATCTTGTAGAACATCATAAACGTTTAATTTAGAAGATCCATTACATAAACTTGGTGGAATAGATTACGTTTATGGTCGAGCAAAAAGTTCACGAAATTATGGTTCTTACCTAGAAGATAAGACGGTATGCTGAGAATTATTATGCTATTTGCTGTAATGGTTTGGAACTTTGTGAGTTTTGGATCCGTCTTTTACTCTCTCTGTGTACATTGAAGGAAACTGGACTTGACTGGCGGATCCTTAAGCGATGGGATGTTCCTTGGAAATGGCAAACGGTTATCCTTACCATGACTGCATGTGGGTTAAGGTATGTTTCTTAGTTTTTTCAAAAATTCTATCTCAAAGTGGAAAACAATATTTTTGTATTTTTGTACTGTTGTGTGCAAGGAGATCTTGTCATGAGGTATTTTATTGTATTTTGTCTAGCCATTTAAGAATCTCTGTTTATCTTCATCTCCCTTTCATTTGCTTTGAACAACACTTTTGTCTTAGAATCAAACTAATTCTTTTTCCAGGCAGTTTTATTTTGACAGGGTTGGTGGAGGCAGCACTTACACCATATCTAGGATTTCGAATTGGAGAAATGAATTTAGATGAGAAGGCAGAAGTACTTTTTGTGGATCAGGCGTATGGATCACTATCCCTGTTTATTTTTCATGTTCATTCTTGTTTTGTTTTCCAGGGTATTTGACAAGTGGTTGTAAGGCAGTCAGCCACTGGCATGATATACGATTATACATGGAAGATGGAACTTCCAGAAACTGACCTTAGGGAATAAAAATAATGATGTTTTTTTCCTGTCCTATATAGGAAAGTTCCATATTGTTTCTGTCAAAAGAATTCTATGGAATGGATGGTTATAAACTTATAATCATACAATCCGATCAAGTTTTGGTGCATCAGGTATCCTAAGTTGCTCTTATTAGATATCGTAAGAATGCTATGGAATGGATGGCTATAATCATACAATCTGATCAAGTTTTTGTGCATCAGATGTCCTATGCCCAAAACAGATGGTCTACACTAATTCTACTTGCTATCTCCAGTTTTTCTATCCTGGATTTTGAAAGCTTAAGTGTGTGTAATATAGCTTTTTTTCTGTATCTGCAATGTGCAGCGTTGCAACTGCAGTTGTACTTGGAGTTGTATATGGTCTCACAAACACCTTCCAACCTCTTCCAGATGATCTTTTCCGCTATGGTACATCCATGGAAATCCTGGGCTAGAAAATGGAGCTATTATTTTTATTGCTTTTATACCAATATCTTTCATTGTTTTATATGACATTTATTGTATGATTGATGCTTGTCTCAACAAAGGACTTGAAGAAAGGAAATCCAGGCACTGTATTAAAGGCTTATGCCTGGAAGTGTGAGATGAGGAAGAAAGCCTCAAGGCTTCACCTTGAAGGCTGATGCCTCAAATATGAGATGCATGGTAGATGCATAATAAAGGTTCACATGTCTGGCATGATCCTAATGCATATTTAGAATGCTGGGTTATTTTCATAACTCGAAACTTTATTTTTCTTTTTTCTTATTTGATATCTTTTAATTTGCTAAATTCACAATTCCCTTATTATGTATAATGCAAATACATTTTTTGGACTCCCTTGAGGCTCTCTTCACATTAATAGTTTCTCTTTTTGTCCTGTGATATTGTTCCATTCACTTCTCTGCGGTGCATGCACAACACAAGGTTAGTCTTTTTTGGGGTTGTTTGTGAATGTGAACCATTTAATTGGATTGTCATTATGGACGATGATGATGGGCCAGGTTGAGTTTTTACAGGGCTGATAATATATGTCTGGGCCAGGCATCTGGACTTTCTGATGTAAATTCATAAAATTATATTTAAAAAATAAAATTTTAATTGAAGTTTATAATCAAAATTATGAGAAGAAGGTGTACATATAAATATATATATTTAATATGTAAGCATGTACAATAAATATTATTTATAGCACATGTATATATTAACTTCTGGGCTGGGATGTTCGGACCTAGGATTTTATGGCCTGGCCCAGCCCGCTTTATGTGTGGTCTTGATGTGGACCTGCCCAGGCAGAAGTGATTAACACTAAATGGGCCCTACAAAGTAATTTTTTTTTCAAAATTTCTAGGAATGGTTGAAAATGGAATCAGTTATTAGGGTGTGTTCTTGAAAGAGAACAATTTCATATTTTCTCAAGAGGGCCTCCAGCATAGGTTAAGAAGTTAGTTACAATCATGTTTACAGAGAAACCAACCAGGCTGTTGACTGGCTTGCAAACAAAGGTTTAGAGAGTTCTTAGTTGATAATCCTGTTCTTTCTTGGTCTTTTAAATGGGATGTGCTATCCCCCATCTTGTGTAGCCCTTTTTCCTTTATACCAGGAAAAAAAAAGAGTGGATGTGGGTCCACAGAATGTGGAATCAGAATCCAACTTCAAATCATCAAAAAGTCGATTTCAAAACTGGCAAAAAATTTTTTCTTGGGTATTGGTGTGATTTCATTCTTCAAAACCCACTGATTGGCAAATACATTTTCACCAATTTTCAGTAATTCTGTTTTCAGAAGTGGTCAAAATCATAATTATGCACCCTGGCAAATGCCCCCTAATTTGCCTACAACTTTTAAGTTTGTGGAAAAAAAAAAGAAAAAAAGAATCAACCAAGAAAAAGAGAGAATGCAAGCTTAAAGCTTTTCACATTAAAGCTTATAGCCTCATGCATTTAGAGGTGCCAGACCTGCTGGTATCTTACCCTTTACTTCATGCCTCTAGTTGATGGACAATAGAGGACATATTTGATTTTATGAATGAGCATTTTCTAAAAGTGCACAATTATGATACCAAGTCCAGTCATAATAAGTCTTTAGTTTAATGTGTTTTTATACATTTTTTGGAAATAAAAACAATATGCTGATTCAATATAATATGGTATTGTTTCAGAATCGAAGGAACCTTTCAATCTACAGAAAGGATGGCTTTTATGGGCTGGAGTTGGTCTTGTTGGTGCTTTTACTGCGGTCGCATTAACAGGGGCAGCCATGGCTTTGTTTAGTGGGGAGAATCCACAGAGAGAGGTTAGAATTGGATGTAAATTAGTTTGTAATTGATATTGAGGAGACATTCATTTGCTTGGTCTAAGACTGCACAATTTACTTTTTGCTCCTTTTGATGGGATTGCAATTAGTTTCTAATTGATATTGAGGAGATACTCATTCATTCTCTTTGAGCTATTGGATGAGGGTGTGATCATCTATCATCAAGTCCGTTTTCACAAATTTCCTCGTGGTTCCCATAAACAGAAAGTACAATAAGATTGTGTGTTTTGCACTCAGCTAACTAGGTGGACTTGGATGCAGATAGACAATTTTTTTTTTTACTTCACAATATAATGTTACATGTATATGGTACAAGTGCAGAAATATAAGAATGATATCTTTTTGGTAAAAGATATATGACAAAGACAATAGCTGTAACCATTGGGCCTTAAGGATTAGGATTCATAGACTCAATCATAAAAATATTTTTAATTTTTAACTACTTCTCTTATTTTATATAAACAATATACTAATTGATGGAAAATAACACAAATTAAATTTAGAAGCATAGATAGTATTTAAAAATTAAACAATTGAAAATCGATTATATTAAACTTATCAAGTAGAATGAATAAACATTCATTCTATTATTTTACTGTAATAATCCAATATTTTGTAGTCACATATCACAAACTCAGCAAAGAGAAGGGCCATCTTGAATATCCTGTCTGTGTCCACATTTATAGTATTGCAATTAGTTTGAGGTGTTTCAGAGAGTCTAGGTAACATAGGTTTTACCTCTGCATATGTTATTTAGTATAAAGAGATAATTATTTTCTCTAATAAATAATTTTACAGCTTGAATGTACTCTATACTCTTTTAAATATCTTTTTATTTAATTGTTTCAGACTGATGCTCTAGTTCGCTTGTTACCATTGATTGGCTCTTCAAATATCAGGTACTTTATTAAGGGCGTATTAAGTTTTTACAATTTTATGAGTGTGAGTTATAACCATTTTACTGAAAGATAATTCTCACAAATCTTTGGAATTGATCAAAAGCAAAGTAATGACATTCTTCCTTGTTTATATTCAAGCACTGCCTGTCTGGTGGGAATAACAGGTGTTTTGGCTCCATTACTTGAAGAGACTGTATTTCGAGGGTTTCTAATGGCGTCCCTGACTAAATGGTAATTTTCTTCCTTTTCTCTTTTTAATTTACATGTCTTTTTTTCAAAGTTTTTAGTAGCAGAATGCTGGTCCAGACTCAAGCAGTTCCGTAAAATTGCTTCTCATGTAATATCTTTATTGAGAGACCCTACTAAGTAACTAAACCAGGGTTTAAAAGCACAGTACATTTGACTTAAGACTCAATGAGGTCGATTGAAGTTTTCCGTAATCCTTGTTAAATTTCAGCTGTATGTGTGCAAACGATTGAAGGCTTGGTCAATCTTCATCAAATTTTAGATACTACCCCCCCCCCCCCCCTAGTTGAGTGAAATTGATTGAATCCTTGTAAATTTACTTGAAGGTTGGATGCTATAGTGGGATCTAATTGGAAAGGAAAGTATCTATTGAATGAAATTGATCCTTGAGACTTGACAAGCTGACTTGACTTTTTGTTTGTTCCATTTAAATTTTGAAGTTCAGTTGAGATGAATCTCTGAATCTTTTTGAAGGGCTTCAAAATTTGGATCTTCAGTTTGTCTACAAGTTTGCCATGGTTTCTTCATAAAATGTGGCAGGAATAACAAAAGCTGCCAAAATTGCCTCTTTTCTCTGCAGTGTGAGAGCTAATTCATTGTATAAGTGTACCCATGTTTATTTCATGTTTCTTTTCATATTCACTGATGTTTTCTCTTTAAACAATGGATTCACTGAATAGTCTTATGTGGAGCTCATCATATCCAATTCCATGTAGTAAGTTAGATTTTTAGATTCAGTTTACCATTTAATTTTAGGACTTTTTCCTCTTTTTCCATCTTGGATGTTATGTTTTCTGTGGTGGTGACAGCTAAGCTCTGATTGTGCAAGACTTGGATTCTATGTTTTCTTTGTGGTCATTTTGCAGGTTTCCCACCCCAGTTTCTATCCTTATTAGTGCTGCAGTATTTGCTCTAGCTCATCTTACTCCTGGAGAGTTTCCTCAGCTATTTGTACTAGGTAATGCTTTTATTTATGTTCAATGATCTTAGACTTGGCTATCCTACCAATATGTTTGTCCCATCAAAATATAGTATATACATAAAATAAGATAAAATTTTTAAATGTAAATGTAGAAGTTGATGGGTTCTGCAGATGTGCCTTCACAATTCTAGTGTCATCTGTGTTGTAATGGAGGCTTTGCTTGTTGAAGAATCTTTTGATCTTCTATGAGCATTTTATCTCCTTGACCATGTCCTTTATTGTTATATTTCTATTGAACATGAGTGCACTTCTAGGTATCTAGTAGCAGTCCCAGTAACTGACAAGAGGAAGGGAAAGGGAAATGAGTAAGTAGCTTTAAAGATCAATTACTGCACTTCTAAGGGATTTATTTTCTGGAATTAAAGTCTTTAAATGGGAAAAAGGTGGCTGAAAAAGGTCATGGATTGAAGTAATGAGGGAGGACATGCAGATTAATGCTTAAACAGAATATATGGCCTTAAAGTAGAATATTGGAATAAGATTCATGTAGTAGACCCCAAATAGCTTCTCTGTGGATTTATTGGATTGGATTGAGTTCAGGATGTGAGATTGGAGATATATCATGCGTGGTGTGAGAAAAGATTGTTCTTATTTCTCTGTTTTCAGAAATATGAGGTTTGGCATGAAAGTTCAGTTTTGATTGTAATCTGTAAGGCCAAAGTAGAGATCTATTATGACTAGCAGTGGAAAAGAGGATTTCTTATATCAGGAGTATGATGTTTGTAAAATAAAAAAATAAAAAGAACTCAGTTTCCATTGCAGTCTATTGAAAAATCTTCAGTAGAAACATATTATGAGTAGTGGGTAAAACTGTAAAGGAGCTCTTCTATTACTGGTTTGGGCATACGGCTCAGTCCTGACAAGTCTGTTGGGAGACCAATGTTATGATATATAAAACTTCTTGTGAGTGTGCTCCGGTCAGAACATATCAGAGACCCCAAATAATCACGAGTGAAAGATCTATTGGACAGTTAAACTTTGATGGCTTAAGTGTTAACCAAAGCATTGACTAATCATCAACTAGTGAACTGACTTGTCAGTTCATGGCCCTAGCCTACAAACTGCATCACTAATTAGTCAGTCAACATTCACAATCCAATTGCCTAGGACAACTAAACATTGACTAGTCTAGGCCAACACTGATTAGGTCAACTAGCAAGTAGTTAACCTAATCAACCACAGATTTATTTTATGTTTTATTTGTTTGTGTTTATATAATTATTTAAAATAATATCATATATACTATTTATGTCTTTATTTTGTTATATATATTAAGCATTCATGATGGCATGTAGTCCAATTATGGTATATAAATTAGAAAAAAGATAAAATGAAGAAAAAAACAGTGAAGTAAGCCCTTTTAAATCAGTAGTTTTAATAATAAAAGATGTGCAACCTTTAATGGATGACATTACTTCTAAGTTCGGTAATCCAAGCTGGGCTATATGGCAAGAGCTTGGATTGCCAACATCATTAGTTTAGGTGGTGGAAATAGGCTAGGTCAAATAGGGAATCTCCCTACTTGACCCGACCATTCTGTTGTTTTTAGTGCCATATCCATTGTTAAATTATGAACTCTTAAATTGTTTCTTTATACTCCAATTCATGTACTTTTTGGTGTGCCCCCATCCCTTCCATACAGATGACAGTGGAGGATGCCCTGGCTAAGATATCAGGTTGATAGTGTTTGGTTTAGACACTTTGCTAGTAAGCTAGTGACTTCCATACAGATGATAAAAAGTGTAGGTAGGATGGAATCTCTTTGTACTTCCTCTAAGATGATATGATTGGGGGAATTGAAGGAAGGAAAAGTGGATAAATATTTATAGTTTAGTAGTGTACTGTGCCTTTTCTTTTGTAGTGGCCAATCTGAATTATATGACTGGAAAGCAGTACTCGAAAAAAAAAGAAGCATGAATTTCAGTTTCTGTTCTAATTGATTATGTTATGATTCTCATAGCAAGTAGCAACAAGGTTTTAAGTTTCCTGTTCTTAGGTTGTGAAAAAATTTTTGCCGGTAAAACTCTTTTTTGATTTTCTAAAAGAAGTTGACTTCGCCATCTACTTTTTGGGAAACCAACTAACATTCTGGTTTATACAGGGACTGCACTCGGATTCTCTTATGCTCAAACTCGCAACCTTTTAACCCCAATCACAATACATGCTTTCTGGAACTCAGGAGTTATCCTGGTGCTCACCTTTCTTCAGGTAAGACAATCACATCTTTTTCTGGATTCAAATCTGCTTGATGTGGGCCACAAGCATTGAGCACCAAACAATCAAACATCCACAGGTGTACATGTTTCCATACTTTGATACCGAAATCAAGTTGAACTAAGATCTTGTGGCTGAGTTTTTTTTTTTTTTTTCCTTTTTTTTGGACCCACGAAAGTTTGCATCTGCATATCCAGACCATTGATTTGATGGCCTCTCTTGTTGATCTCTAGTCGGAAGAGCCATTGGTTGTCTGATGCAACCAGTATTGTGTACTGTATATATTTGATAGACCAAAAGATGCCATATGATCATTTGGCTAGCATATAATCCAGTTATCACAACTTCTGGCCGTAATGTCTCTATACCTTTCGAACAATACGATTATCTGGATTGATGACCATGCATCGAACAATTCCTTGTCATCGGTGATGTCTAATACGTGGACTTCTTATTTGTCTGTTTGTTTTGTGCCTGCAGCTGCAAGGATATGATATCAGGGAGCTATTGCAAGCCTCCTGAAAGAGATTCAATCGATTTGGGGGGGTGATACGTTTCTCTCAACTCAATTTGTTCTTTTCATGTATAATAATTATCTTTCTCTATGGCAAAGTAAGTGTAGAATTTGTAATTTATTGCTGCGGTTGCATCAGTGGAAATATGAATGAGGAGGATATGGTTGGATACTAGGAAAACCAATGTTCAAAATTTTGTCACAATGAGGGCGTATCGGGTATATTGTATTGTATCGGTAGTATTATGATACGCTAAATAATGTGTATTTTGTTTTTTTTTTCGGTTGTTTCCAGGGGGTGTAAAACTTTGGGGAAAAAAAAAAAAAAACTGAAAAACAGGACGAGTGATGGAAACACCCGATAAGTAGTTTGAAGTTTGAACCACGAGGAAAACTTTGTAATAATCCTAAATATGCATCAAATAAATGCTCAAAACGTCAATTGGTTATGAACAAGGCAGTAGGGTATAAATACATAAGAAAACGTAATTTAATACTTTATGTAAAGTGAAATATTAGACCTGAGGCTGAATGGCTAATATAGAGGTTTATGTGAGCCGATCTATTCATAAGCTATTCGGGCTTGAGTCGCTAAATACTCAAATTTGACTCAAAGATGATTGAGCATTCGAGCTCGAGTTGATTCATGGTTTGCAGTAGCCGGTAGGGCTGTTCACAAGGTCCAACTCGACTAAATCGATCAATCCAGACCGACTCAATTCGAGTTGGCCGGGTTTTTATAAGCACCAGTCGGTTTTGGGTTGTACAAATTTATAAACTGATGGTTTGGGTCGGTTTTGGTTTTCTTGTGTGAAAATCGAAACCGATCCGAACTGAACCGACTTAGTTCCTAATTAATTAAGTTGTCTTTATCCTAATTCCTAATTACAACCTAACCTAGTCTTCTAGTTCCTACTTAATTAAGTTGTCTCTATTCTAGTTTCTATAGTCTTTTACACCAAATAGGCAACCAGTTAGGCAATTACAATTAGAATTAGGTATCATTTTTTACTTAGATTAGAATTTAGAAAGTTTCTTGAAATATACAAATTTTAGCCTTCTTTCTATAAAATAGTTTGACTTTCTATTTTTTTGATAACTTTTGTCTTCTATTCTAATTCTAACTTGATCCGCCCCCCTTAGCCCCTCAACTCAAGCACAATCTCTATTCTCTAATACAATTTGACTCTCAACTCAAGAATAAAAAATTTAAAATTTCAAGTTCTCAAGTCTCAACTTCAAGACATCATTTGAACTTCGCTCTCCCAACTCCCATCTTCTCAAAGTTCTCATTCTCTCAACTCAAGCTCAAGTCTCATTCTCAAAGTCTCAACT